CATCTAGGGTTTTTTAAAAAAGTGATATTATTTTAGTTTGTTTCTATCTCAAAATATATCAGTAGCATAAAGAGAGAGGAAAAAAAAAAAGAACTTTCAAAAGTCATTTTTGTTAACGAAGGAGAACTTAGACCAAACCAATTCAAAAAAATCTAAGATTTTATATATTGATTCTAAGATTCATAATCACATCTCATATAAAATTTAAGCTCATTTAGATATCATTTGCTATAGTAACCAAGATTGGGATTAAAACTTATCATAATAGGTTAGATTCGCATCAGAAGGGAATTTCAAGTCAAATAAATTCAAAACATTCTAAACTTTTATATACTGGATTTTAAGGTTCTAATCGCATCACATCCCATATAAAATTTGAAGTTATTTGGAGTTCGTTTACTATAGGAATTAAATTTGAGATTAGAACTTGTTAAAACGAGTCTAATTCATGTCTATAAGTCAAATTTGTTTTGCTATTGTTATTTTTCAATTATAACAGTATAATAACATCATATTTGATATATTTAGGTTCATTTTTTTATATAACCTTTGCATCTTTTTTCTTTTGTGTCTTTAAAAATATCTATTTTTAATATAAATTCACTTGTTACTCATGAAATTGTAATCATAGTTTTGTCTTTATTTATTTTTATATTTTATTACTTATTAAGTCATTCACACATATTTAGATACACTATTACAACTATTATATTTGGTTTTGATTTTGGTTCCACAAGAGTTAAAGAAAGGTGTGATGAGAGAAGAAAAAAAAAACGTAACTAGCATATTTGAGTGAAGAGCCTATATTTGAGTGAAATATAAAAGGAGAATAAACATATGAAGGAATTGGTGAGAAAGATATAGTTCTTGTCAAGTAACCAATTTTTATATTCAAAGATGTCGAAGGTAAACAACAATATGACACTATAGAGAGGAGATAATTAAATTGTTAATCATTTATACACTATGATTCAGTGGATGGATCAAATGACCAATGGATTTGGGGATGGGTTGGATAGGTTGGAGAGGCAACATGTTAATAATCATGGTAGGATTCAAATTAGGCTTGAGAGAACAGAATTTAATATTAGGCAGGCTATCAGGTGAGTTAATATTAATGTAGATGAGTTTGTGGCTGATAATGCAGACATGAGTGATGATGATTTTGAAGAAGTGACCCTGGAACATAGGGAATGTTTTGGACACCACCAAAATTGTTAGTTTGAAAGGGAAAAATATGGTGATAATTTTAGCAAAATGGATAATTATAGGTATCAGGACCATAATACTGAGTGAGGTAGAGATTTTGGTACTATTAAATTGAAAATACCGGCTTTTCAAGGAAAGAATGATTCAAAAGTTTATTTAAAATGAAAGAAAAAGGTAAAGTGGATTTGGTAGGACCAGTACTAAACCTTTGTATACTATTTAGGACTATATAGAGCTACATGTAGAATTTAGTCGCAATTCAAGTTGTAATGAAAACTAGACATCTCAAATTTTTTAATTATATATTGTAAGCCTAATAATTCAAATAAACAAGAAAAAACAACATGTTTAAAGTCAGCACTAAAAATCTGCTAAGATTTTCTAAATCTGCTAAGTGTGAAAATTAGATATTCAGACTACATTAAGGAATTTTAGCATGAAAAATTTATTTTAATATCCTATTTTATTTTTTAATTTAAGTTTTTTCTAGATCATTAGACATTGTTTAAGGGTTTATTTCATTATTAAACTTATGTTAGTTGATTACTAGTTTAAGCTTATTAGCATGCAACCCAAAAGGGGTCCATTAGGGTTAGTTAGAAAATATTATATTATGTCTTTTCAGCAGCAAATTGAAGAATATACATAAGTTTTTTTTTTGTGTATAGCAAAATAATCTTTATTTGCAGTAATAAAGATCGCACACTAACTTATCGAAGATTAAATGGCTTCATGGTATCATTCTTATACTTAGGATTCTTAGATATAAGGTCATCTCTAGGTCTCATTCTCTTTCCAATACTTTTGTTTTTTAGGTGCAGGAAGTAAGATTATTTCTAGATTAAGATTCTATCAAACTTGATTTTCCGCTTTTCAAATTATTACCTATTTATTTAAAGATTATTTGATCACGTGATCAAGAGTTTCTTATCAGTCTAATATTCTAATCATGATAACTTCTATTTTTTACTTTAAATTGAACTCTATCACAAGAAAATCATTGGTTCTTACAAGTATAAAGCCCCCCTAATAATGATAAAATAAATTACATTTGATTTTTTTGTTTGTTTACTTTTAAAATGCATTCATTCATTATATTTTACTTGGAACATGATACTGAAAATGAAAAACCTTCAAAACTTGTCAATGTCCATCTGAAAGTTACAGTCTAAAATCTAACAATTTCTTAGCAAGAAAACAAAAAAAGAAAAATGCATGAAATATGCTGCAGCTCAGCATGAAAAACCTATCCAAGATTCATGGATCGATGGCCTACTAATACTTTTTTTATAGAAGAAAATTAGAGAAAAGATTCTATATTATCATGTATTGTTGGATGTCTGGAATTCTTCTATTTAATTGTTACTAGCTCCATTGCATCTGTACAAGTTTAGGACTCCTTCAACTAAACATTGCATGCGAGCCTAACCATGAAAGTGACAAAAACAAATAAAAAAAACCTTACGCAAGCAGCCATAATAGTATACAAGTTGTGATTCCAACTCTCATGAGTTTTATCATGTGAAATCCACATGAAACCTACAAATATTTTACAGCTTGGAACCAAACCACCAGAAAATTCTTGTTACTTTTGTTATGTAAAGATTTTTTTTCTATTTTTACACTGCATTATTGTTGAACAAGTTATGTTGGGTGAGGCCCGTTATTAATGAACTCTAGAACGACATTCTTAACAACTATGGTGGAAGCAATAAAAGGTGGATATATATGTTTTTGCCTTTGGAAATGTTGGTACGTGCTCATGTCAACAGTGAATGAAAGCCTTGCCAAAATTGACCAACCAATAAAGTCATTCCATGCAACCCCATCAAGGCGAAGATAACATTTTCTTCCTGGATGATGGAAGGCAATGATATTTGATGAAGCAAAAAGTTTGAAAAAAAAAACCAAGAAAAAAACCCTTGGTTATTCAGGTCACTATCCAACTACTAGGAGTCCTCATCTTTTCAAGCCATGCCTGAATAGCCAAATACCTTAGTAGTTTGGGCCAATCTTAAATGACCAAAAACCCTAGCCTAACATCTTTCAAGCTCGACAGGTTGATTGTGATATTTTTGAGCCTCAAATCATTAATGCTACTTAGACACGTGCTTTAACATGTTTCTTGAGTTTTAAGATATCAGAGTAACATCTTACATTGTTTATTGAAGAACGCTTTGCGTACCTCCAAATCGCTCACTGGAACTATTAGCATATACTAAATTCTCCATACAAAACACTACAATCAAGGGCGAGCACTAAGCTCCTCATTGATAATACAATCATTAATAACTCATTACAAACTCGATGGACCACAAGTATTTGCAATATCAATATTCATGGAGTAAGATCACATGATCAAGAATTATAAATTAACCAAGCAAAGCATTCAAGTTCAATCTATTCGAATTCATTCAAGGACTCCACACCATTACATTCACGCATTCCCTATGTTTTTCTTTTTTTATATATATATTATTTTCTCCTTCCATATTTACTAATTTAAACCATAATTAACTTGTTTTTGCAAGAAAAACCTAACTAAGAGAAAAACCGCCCAATCACCTTAAGCCAAAATGCAGCCAAAGAAAACCCAATCCAGTGTGAAGTTGATACAGCTTCATCACTATTTATAAAAAAAAGCCTTGCATGTCGAGCCCAACTTTCCCGTTTCTTGATTCATTGCCTTGCACCAATAATTTAGGACAAACAACATGACACAAAAGAAACCGAGAGGGATGTGTGGTCCCCTCATTTGCTGTCCATGCAAGCAAATGGGAAAAATATCCAATAGCAAAGCGAGATTTGTGATGGAATAAAGAGAACGCAATAAATCTATTTTGCCGACCCACACATTAAAAGAAATAGTTGTTCACGCTTCACACAAACTATGACACGGGGAGAAGCACAAACTTATTTGAAAATACCCCTATATCATCAAATAAATAAAAATATACATTTCTATTACACAACAGAAAAAAGTTAAGATTAATGTTAGCAAAGAAACGTAAGACATCAGAATTTGAGCGACACAATGCCGAATGATTTGGAAATCTATGAACCCATGACCATATTACAAGTCATAGGTGAGCATGCAAGTCATCGTAACCATCACCGATAAGGTGGTATGGAGGGAAATTCGG